ATAAAAAAATTTCAAAATATTTTACAAAGTATTTCGAACCAATTCAAAACCAAAAATTCCAGAATACTCAGAGGGAACCGATTCCCCCCCATAGGAGGAACCGATTCCCCCCTGAATGGTTTGGCTCCGAGATTTCCAGAATGCTCGGAGGGAACCGATTCCCCCAAGGGGGTACCGATTCCCCCCTGTTCAACGGTCGAAATATTTGAATTTTACACTTAGGGAACCGATTCCCTATGATAGGGAACCGATTCCCCCCACTGTCCAAGCTGTTTTATTAAATGTTTTCACACTAAAACGGCTATAATATCTTCTCTAATTATCCCCAACGTTCAGAAGTGATTCAAGGTGTATTTAAGCAAGCTTAGAAGCCATTGATCAATAACAAGAAACATCAAGCAACTAGAATCAAGAGAGAATCAAAGAGAAAGCATCAAACCTCAAGTTTGAGCATTTCAAGCCCATTTTCATTCAATATTTATTTTGCTTTCAAGAACACTATTTGTGCTCAATTGTATTCATCTTTGAGTGTTCTTTTCTTTGTTCTAGAATTGTGCAAACATCTTACCTTGTGAGGTTTTCTTGTAAGTTTGCAAATTTGTAATCTTCTCTTTGAGAAAAGAGTGTTCTCAAGAGTTGGGGTATACTCTTGAGGGAATTGTAAGGTTATCTCTTTGGCCTCAAAAAGAAAGAACAAATTAGTGAATTTGTTGGAAAATCCTTAGTGTGGATAGCTAAGGTAGTGGACGTAGACTTTGTTTGAGAAAGTCGAACCACTGTAAATCGCTGTGCAATTGCTTTCAATTTTCTGCAAAAGCTTCCACAAAATTTTTATTGCCAATTCACCCCCCTCTTGGCCAATTTCGTCATTCGATTAACTCAACATAATTGGATTGCTCATGGTAACAAGAACACGAAATACTTTCATTCGTATGCAATTGCAAAAGGCATGAGGAAAAGGATTACAACTCTTAAAATTGAATCGAAGGTTTGGTATGATGAACAGGAAATTCTAAAAAAGTATGTTAAAGATTTATATGAGAAACTGTTATTAAGGATCTGTCAATCAATCAAAATCTGGATGACCAAAGGTTTTTCCCTGAGCTGAAAAAGGAGGCTTTTATTTAGCATGGAACCTCTCAAATCCCCCGGTTTATATGGTTTTCATACTACTTTCTACCAAAATAACTGGGATACAGCTGGGGGAAAAGTTTGTCACCTAGTTAATCAATGCCTTAATGGGGGTCAGATCAATGAAGAGATAAACATAACGAGTATGGTTTTAATTCCTAAGGTTGATAGTCCTGAAAGAATTACTCAGTTCAGACCCATTAGCCTTTGCCAGGTTATTTACAAAATTATTACGAAAGTTATTGCGAATCGCCTTAAACCTATTCTACCTACTGACATCTCAAATAGTCAAATGAGTTTCGTACCGGGAAGGGTGATTACTGATAACATCCTTCTTACTCAAGAGGTTATTCATTCCATGAAGAAGAAGAAAAGAAGGAAATGATGAATTGCCATAAAAATTGATCTTGAAAAAGCTTACGACAGACTGGGCTGGAATTTTATCAAGAATACAATGGAGAAATTGGGACTGCCTAACAGGATGATGAAGACTATAATGAATTGCATAAGTTCTACAACTATTCAGATAAATTGGAATGGTGAACTTACAGAGCCTTTCAAACCTTCTAGAGGGATAATACAGGGAGACCCTTTATCGCCTTATATCTTTGTTATCTGCATGAAAAGATTAGCTCAAGAAATTACCTTAGCTGTGGAAAAAAGAACCTGGAAACCTATTAAACTTTTTAAAAATGGTCCTAATATTTCTCACATTTTCTTTGCAGATGATCTATTGCTTTTTGCGGAAGCTGATAATTCTCAAATTGAAGTTATTCAGGCTACTCTAAACAGATTCTGCTGCAATTCAGGACAGAAAGTTAACCTGTAAAAATCTAGCATTTACTTCTCCAACAATGTTGATGCTCAAACCAGAAGATCCATTACTAACAAACTAAATATTATGGAAGTGAATAATCTTGGAATATACCTAAGAGTTCCTATATTGCACAACCGAATCAATAAGCACACTTACAGTAGTATTATCCAAAGAGTTAAAGACAGACTCACATAATGGAAAGCTAAAGCCCTCTCACTGGCAGGAAGAATTATGCTTGCCAAATCGGTTCTTTCTTTAATTCCTGCATATACTATGCAATCAATTTTAATCCCCAAAGGAATTTGCACTGAGCTGGAAAGACTTACAAGGAATTTCATCTGGGGAAATTCGAATGAACAAAGAGGATTACATATTGTGAACTGGGACACACTCTGTAAACCTGCTAAAGAATGAGGACAAGGATTAAAAAATTTAAGGAGCCAAAATAAGGCTTTTATTTTTAAACTTGCTTATAAACTTATTAACAGACCTGATCTTTTGTGGGTGCAGGTGATGAGAAATAAGTACAAAATGAATGATGTCTTACTTGAAAAGCTACAAAAAAGAGGTGGATCACAACTATGGATTCAGATATGTTCACTATGGCCTAATTTTAAACAGAACATATGTTGAAATATCGGCAATGGAAAACATGTGAAATTCTGGCATGACAAGTGGTTAGACATCAAAGATCCCCTTTTTAGTTTATGTAAACAGCCAAAGGAAGTTGAAAATGATAAGTCGACACTTAAGGATATGATCAACCAAAACGATAATTGGGATTAGAACAGAATGACAAAATTTCTCTCGGATCAAGTCCTCAATATGCTGAAAGCTACTCCGCCTCTAGTGGATGAGATCCTGACTGACTCTCCAGGTTGGAGCCTATCGAAAAAAAGAGAATTCTCGGTGAAATCTGCATACAAATGGATAGGAAATATTAACATCAATATGGAAGGGAAAATTTGGAGCAGTATTGCTAAACATAAAAACATTCCCAGGGTCAAAACTTTCTTATGGCTGATTAGATGAAACAAAATCCTAACCAACTCGGAAAGAAAACGAAGACATTTGACGATGGATGAGAGTTGCCCTATGTATGGATACGAAGTCGAAGACATCAATCACATCCTAAGATTCTGTCCTATAGCCTTAACTATTTGGGCAGAATTGATCGAGTATAGGAAAATGGATAGATTCCTAAGCAAGAGTATGGAGGATTGGGTTATTGAAAATCTTGAAGCGACACAAACCCCTAATGCAAGAACGAAAAATTGGCTGACTTTGTTCAGTTCTGTTATTTGGTTCATCTGGAAGAGAAGAAATCATACAGTGTTCGATTCTGAAATGATTGAGAGAGAATCTATCATCCAACAAGCATATAGACTTACCCAGGAGGTTGAAAATTCGGAAGTCCTAAAGCTTGGGATTAATCATACCAGAAGGAATACCCAATATCGATGGCAAAAACCAGAGATTAATTATTTCAAAGTAAACACTGATGGGTCTAGAAACTCGAATAATGGATATGCAACGTGTGGAGCAATAGCTAGAGACTATAAGGGTAACTGGCTCTGGGGATTTAACAGGAAAATAGGTAAATGTTCCTTATTGAAAGCAGAACTCTGGGGAATTCATGAAGGTTTAAAAATGGCGTGGATGAAAGGAGATAGGAAAATAATTTTGGAATCGAATAACAAGGAAGCAGTAAACTTGACAATCAATGGATCTACCGAACACAGATATCCAACAATCCTTCAACACATACACATTCTGATCAAAAGAAATTGGGAGATTAAGATTCAGAACATACCGAGGGAGGCTAACCGCGTCGCAGATTTCATTGCCAAGCTAATGAGGAACCAGCAAGAGGATACGATCTATTTGCACACTCACCCTAAGGAAGTAGAAGAGCTGATTAGAGATGATGTAACCGGCTTCTAAGAGGCCCAGTCTCCTGTATTAAACCAAAAAAAATAACACATCTTTTACAATCATAGTAAATTTTATTTTTATTAGTACTTTTACTTTTGAATACTTAAATATTTATAAAACAATTAAGGTTTAATTTTTTATAATATTTAATATTATTTACAATTTAAACTTATAAAAATGTGTAATAACAATTTTTACAATCAAACATGACATAAAAAAGATTTAATTATATTGTGTTTGTCATACATGTTTAGGTAATTATATTATTTTTTAAAATTTTCCTAACTTTATTTTATTTAATGTGCATAACTCCACTCTAAAATAAAATAGACTTTAAAACATTATTTTATTTAATTATATGTATTTTTTATATTTTATTATTGAAATTGTTAATATATTTTTATGAGTATGATGATACTCATATTGTATTTTTTTATTATTTATTTAATATAATTAAATTTTAACTCAAAAAATTATAATAGTCCTGTTTTGTTTCTAAAAATTATTTATCCAAAAAATAACATAAAATGCTAAAATTTTAAAATTAATCATTTTAAAAATTAAAATTTTTATTTAAAAAAAATCCTAAAAATTTTATATTTGAATCAAGATTATGATGATTTGTACATTTTAATTGTAATTAGTTAAATATAAATATAAATATTAGATTTAAAATTTGAAGAAAAATAAGAAAAATGAATAATAATCGAACACCTCTAAAAATAATAAATAATGTTTAGGAACAGTTCTAAATTTTAGTATGTGAAACATAGAGTCAAATAAAATAAAGAAAAAGAAAATCATTGAAAAAAGAGTGGTATCATCCCTTCATTACTCATCCTTTCCTCTTTCCATATTTGATATTTTTCCCTCTCTCTAACTCCACTAGGGCTTCTTCATCTCCCTTTCTCTGTAAGTCGCAAATCTCTCTTTTTATCTTTTTCTCTTACGCCCTTCTTTCATGCTTCTTCTTCTTCTTTTTCCTTGGAAAAAAGGAAAAAAAAACTGATTGTTTAATTTTTTTCTGAAGCTGTCCAGATGGATTTTCAGATTGGGTCTTCCATTCTTTTAATTGATTTTCTTTCTATTGAACTCTTTGCTTCTTTATTTATCTTTTCTTCTTATGTACTTGTATTTGTTAAGATGGGATTTCGATTTACTCTTCAATCTTTGTGTTTGCTGCGACTTGTTCTTCATGATTGATCTTCATGGGTTTTTGATTTCTTCACATATTGGGGTTAGTTCTACTTCTGCTATTCCCACTCGTCATTTTAAGTAAGGGTTTTTTTTTCCAAGTCGGTTCTTTCTTATAGGGTTCCCATATTTTGTTTGTGATTTTTATTGAAGCATTGAAAGTGGGCATGGTGAAAATTTAGGGTTTTATTAGATTTTTGGATTTGTGTCATATTTTTTTGATGAGCTTATTATTTTATACGTAATGATTGCAGCATTGTGGATCAAGAGTAGGGGGCTTTCTTGGATTTTTTTTTGTTTCTCTTGCAATATTACTAAAGGTTATATTATAAAGTGGAAATGGTGGGCAAAGAGGATGTTCCCGCTAGTCCTAGGGCTCCATCATGCCAGGTTTCCAGCTCGCGGAAAATGTTTTGGCGTTCAGCTTCATGGTCCGCTTCGCAGACGAGTGGTCAAATTCCATTAACTGAGGACAAGGATCTAGGAGAAGGTCCTAAAGGTAATGATGGTTCTAATAATAATGGACAGACCCGCCGGTTTCCTCCTCCTCCTTTAACTCCTCGTTCGCAACAGAATTGTAAGGCCAGGTCCTGTTTACCACCTTTGCAGCCACTGTCGATTGCACGGAGGAGTTTGGATGAGTGGCCAAAAGCTGGTTCTGATGACCTTGGTGAGTGGCCACAGCCGCCTACCCCAAGTGGGAACAAGAGTGGTGAGAGGTTGAAGCTTGATTTATCATCAATTCAGTGGAACAATGATAATAATGGTGGGCTTTTAAAGAGGGACAAGATTGCTTTCTTCGATAAAGAATGCTCGAAAGTGGCAGAACATATTTATCTTGGTGGAGATGCGGTTGCAAAGGACAGGGAAATACTCAAAACGAATGGTATTACTCATGTTTTAAATTGTGTCGGCTTTGTTTGTCCGGAATATTTCAAGGCTGATTTTGTGTACAGAACTTTGTGGTTGCAAGATAGTCCATCAGAGGATATTACTAGCATACTTTATGATGTTTTTGATTATTTCGAGGATGTTAAGGAACTGGGTGGAAGAATTTTTGTTCATTGTTGCCAGGGCGTATCAAGGTCCACATCATTGGTGATAGCATATCTTATGTGGAGAGAGGGACAGAGCTTTGATGATGCCTTTCAGTATGTAAAAGCTGCAAGAGGAATTGCTGATCCGAATATGGGTTTTGCTTGCCAGTTGTTACAGTGCCAAAAGAGGGTCCACGCATTCCCGTTGAGCCCTAGTTCCATATTGAGGATGTATAGAATTGCACCTCACTCACCTTATGATCCGTTGCATCTGGTACCTAAAATGCTGAATGATCCGTCTCTTTCGGGTCTGGATTCTCGAGGTGCATTTATTGTTCATATACCTTCTGCAATATATATTTGGATTGGCAAAAACTGTGATTCTATCATGGAAAGGGACGCACGAGGAGCTGTTTGTCAAATTGTTCGGTATGAGAGAGTGCAAGGGCCGATAATAGCTGTAAAAGAAGGAGAAGAACCGTCTTGTTTTTGGAATGCATTTTCGAACCTTTTACCATTGATGGATAAATCTCGAAATAAAGTCGAGGTAGGGGAATCTGCAGTTAAGATTTGCCATGGCGAGAGGAAAGTCGATTCATATAATGTTGATTTTGAGATTTTTGAGAAGGCTATAAAGGGTGGTTTTGTCCCTCCGTTTGCTTCATCTGAGAATGAACTCGAAACCCACCTTCCTGAAAGAGAAAGCAGTTGGAGTATGCTTCGATGTAAATTTGCCTCTGGCGTAACTGAGTTTGTTTCCACACCAAAGATATTGTTCTCCAGGGTTTATTCAGATTCCATGATGATAGTTCATTCATCATCACCGTCATCAACATCCTCCTCGTCTCCTTATCTTTCACCGGACTCCATCTCTTCTGATTCTAGCACTTGTTCAAAGTGCCTTTCGGAATCTTCTCTCGATTCACCTTCATCTGTTTCATATTCTCTTCCTGTTTCAACTTTGTCTAACCTTTCTAACTTGTCTCTTGTTTCATCCCGAACTTCTTCACACCTTAAATCTAATAGCACGGAAATTGGCAGTGCCGATTTCACTTCTCAACCTTGTTCTCAATCCGCATCATCACTCGTACAAAAGGTTTCACCTTCTCTTGCTGAACGCCGAGGTAGTTTGTCAAAGTCTCTCAAGCTTCCGGTGGTGAGTGATAATGTAAGAAACACAAATGAGCGGTCATGTTTTCTTGTCAAGAAAGGTGGGATCCAGATAAATAAAGATTATAGTTCATCATGTGAATCAGATATTGAAATTGTCTTTGACTCCAAGCCTGGTGGTGGAAATGGTGTGGATATTTTGATTCAAGGTTCTGGTTTGAAGATATCTCCAGGTAGACTAGCTAATGTCGACTCACGTGATACGAACTATGCTTTTGTTAAAACTTGTGAAAGTCCAGAAAATCCTCCCCAGGATGGTCTTGCGTCTTCTGTTCCAAACAGAATGGAGGAAAGTATTCTGGCTTGCCCTGGTGTACTTCAGCCTTTAGTATGCCGCTGGCCCAGTATAGAGAAGATGACAAAATTTAATAGAACTGATCTAGATTCAAAATCAGCTTTTGCAATTTTTTGTCCGACTACAGCCATGAGCAAAAATGAAGATTGGATTCTATATCTTTGGATAGGGAGGTCTTTTCATCAGGAAAAAAGTTTGATTCAGTTAGATAACGGCAGATTGATGGGGGATAGAGAAGATATTGACTGTGACCAAGTTGGTTGTGATCTTCCAACTCAAATGGGTCTGCCGAAGGATATCCCCGTGAAGGTGATTAATGTTTTTGAAGTTTTGGACTTTATATTATTTACTTCTTGTTCTCATGTCCAATCACGGGTTATGCTATATATACTATGGCATGTTTGCTTTAGATTTAAGATCGTGAATAAGATTTAAGCACTAACCACTGTATATCAATGTTTACAAATATGATACCATAAGATGTTTCAGAAATATCATTGCATAATTCTTAATCTTTTTTAAAAGGAACCATATCTTTGTTTGATTTGGTGAATTTAACTAAATATGCTGTCATGGATTGTTCTTTAGGGGAATCTATACGCTACTCAAATTAAATTTTCTTGTTATGCTTATGCTAGAGTAGAATTATGTTTGAGATTTTCACCACCATTAAAAAAACTGGACCAGAGGTTGTACGGATTGAATTTCCACAAAGTTGCATTTAGTTTAATGTTAATATCTTTCATATGAAACTAAGAGATTAAAGTGTAAATCTCATTAATTTACGAATAAACTAAAAGATAGAGAAGATAGTATACAGAAAACCTGTTTACCTCTAAAAGAAATTCGTAAGATTTGTCTGTGAGTTCTCTTTTGCGACAATCTGTTTGATTTTGACATGTTCCTTTGTATTCAGCCAAAGAATAGATGTGAATCAACTCTTTTTCCTTTTAACCTTCTAACGTGGACCTTGATTATTTACCATGAGCAGATAGTTAACGAAGATGAGGAACCGACAGAATTTCTTATGTTGTTGAAGATGATGTAGATTTGCTTTAATTAAGGATAGGTCTACAAGCTGAGACAGTTAATAGATTCTCTTTTGTTTCATCAAATGGCTTATTTTTGTTGTGGAATTTCAGCCATCAAGCGTAGTTCCCATGGCAAAACAAACGAGGTTAGTAGCATCCTTTTTCCTGTCATTTATTATTGATTGTTTTATTCCAGAAAGATATCTATACCTGGGTGCCTAAGTTTCCCCTACTCTTTTTATTGAAATATCTGTGTTTGACACTCTTGTCTGGATACGAGGACATGATCCTCCAACTACTCCAAATACTTGGAAATCTTGGAAAATCTGACACATCGGAATTTGAGTAACATAGCTAGGCACTGTAGTTGGCTAGCAGCATTTTATGGATTGTTAATAGTTAGATTATACACCAGCCTACAACCACTGCTGCATGCAAGGATTTTTATACCCTCAAAATCATATTTCAACTAGTTTAAATTGTGTGCTGATAGGCCACAACTGAGTTGCTCTGTTTTGCCACTTCCTGTTGTTTTGAGTTTTATCCGAGAACTGAATGGATATGAACTATGCGAAGCAATTTTGATTGTGTCAGGATGGTCGTTCACATGTTTCTTTTCCATATTTCTCATTACATTGGATGTCACTCAGCTTAAAGTTCATTTCCAGTTGGCTGTTTTTAGTTCATAAGACTTAAGTGTTATAGAACATGAAGACAATGAGCAAGATATTAGTTGAAACATGTTATCTATGAAACTATGCTATAGAGATTGGGGCTCAAAGGAGGGGGAATTTAAAATTAGTTAAAATTTCACAATGGATGCAAAAGAATGATGAAAAGTGCTTTTCAAACTAGTTTTTTGTCCAAACGTAAAGGCTAAAAAATGTTTTTGGTTTTCAAAAAGTGCTTTTGGATATGAAATTATTAAAACACACTATTCTTTTATCTCTTTAAATCAATTATACTTGTCAACATAGATTGTTTTCCCCACTGCCTTGTGACCACCATCATTTTTGTGTTCTGGACTTACTTTTCTGTTGTGTTTAAAAAGATTAGTTGCATGCAGCTAGTTGTACGTTTTGCTTATCATCTGTGTGATTCGATGTTTTAGGTAACTACCATGTTGGAATTCACCGGGTTGTACAACATAATAACGACGTTGTAACTGGTAATCAATTGTTTCGATAGACAGTTATTGTATATTCAGTTTTATCAGAATCGAAATCCAAAAATCTTAGTTTTCCAGCCTCACTGTAATTTTGGTTTCTTTTTCCAAATTTGAGTACTCACTTTATGGCAAATGTTGGATTCCAAAGAGCATTATCTTCTAGTTTGCTTTATATATATTTGCCCATTAGTCCAGGGAATTGATGGGCCAGAACACACAAAGAAACCAAGTATAAGGGCTTGGCAAAGAGGAATACAACTGCAATCAACCGGATGTCCATTTCAGTAAGCCAAAACCCTACGTTATTTGTAAACCAGTTCTTTAGCTGGTGTCGGAAATATCACCAAAGATACAATCTCAAACAAATACTTCAGTTGGTACAGAGTTTTCGTCGCTGATAATGACAAAAGAATTCTTCAGAATTTAAGAACCAGACGCCACCGTATTCTTTCATATTTTCCTTCCATACACTTTCCTCTTCCCTTTTACTCACATGTTTTGGTAAACCTTTTTCTGTAACCCCCTAGACCCGGCCTATGCGTTTAGATTAAGTCTAGTGGATCACAAAGACATTTTTCAAAACCGTTATCCAATCAATGTAAAATCACATTATTCATGACATGAAATTATAATAAATTATACTATTAAATATAAAACTAATCAGTAATAAATTAATTTAAAACATATATTAAAAATCAAAATCACGATAAACTGAATAGTAATAGCAAAAGTATCATCATTATAAAATCCAATACTTTAAAATAGGTCATGTCACCAGAATAAAGTCAACTTGCAAGTTTAAAATATTACAATCAGATATATTTCAAGAGATATGTTGATCCTCCAAGTGCTCGAACCGAGGTATCTAACCAACAGTATCTGAAAGGGGAAAAACATTTTCGAAAGGTGAACTAGGCTCAGTGTGTCCCAACATTACCATAAAATCACAATAGGTACATTAAACAAATCATAGTCCAGTAAATCTCACAAATTCGTAAAAGAGTTTAACTTTTGAAAATCATAGTTTAAACCCTTTTCTGGTACACCATCAGTAGTTCCAAAATTATTTTCCATATAGCTTACTTTATGCACATAGCAAAAAAGAAAGCCGACTTAAGGATAGGCTATGATGCTTGTATCCTTAAGCCCAAGTCAATAAGTCCATATAGCTTACCCTAAGCACACAGCAAAGGAAAGCCGACCTAATGAAACATCTTGGGGCCCTCAAGAGTCACATTAGGCCCGTTTATTAGCTTGATCAGAGCTATACAATTGTAGTTCAATCCATCCCAAAATCAATATCCATATACCAGTCATCAAAGTCCATAAATCATCAACAACAAATCGGTGTACCAACAATAATAATCCATAGATTTCAATGTACCATATTTCAAAACATATAAAACCATTATGTAGTAAACAAGAACACACCTCGATAATGGGTTCAGATAGTAGATCTACTGATTGCTGGTTTCACCACGCTCTGCTACAGTTTTCGAATTGGTGAATACTGGTATACGTGGTTTAACTGATCTAGAAGAGCTGGGTCGAGTTGTCGAACGATCCGGAGAGTCTATTGAACCTTCAAACAATAATAATTAATCAGCCCCAAATCTTACTTAATTGTTCAAAGCTAAAATTATTAAGTATATAAGCATTTTTCGGGTTTGACTATCATTTTGGGGTATTTCGAGTCTGAATTTGGCCAAACAGATTGCGGAATCGGAATCAGGACGTCGAAAAACATAAAGTATGAATTTTCGAAAATTCAGATTCTTGGTCAAAGTCAAAGTCAACCACTTTGACCATCAATTTGGAGGCCTTCGGGTTCGAATTTGACGAAACAGACTTCGGAAACGGATTCGGGACGTCGAAAACTATCAGAATAGGTATACTCGGAAAAGATTTACGGTCGTTTAAGGGTCGGTCAAAGCCATTTTAAGTTTTGGTCAAAAGAAGTCAACTGTCAACGATCAACGGTCGGGTCGGGTCAGTCGGGTCCGGTCAGACCGGTCAAACCGGTTCAGACCGGTCGAAACCGGTTCGAACCGATCGAAACCGATCAAAACGGTTTTCAGCCCTCCACTCTCCCTACGGCAGCGCGTGTGACGCGTGAGGCCTCCTCCGGGGGTCTAAATATTCCGGAAAAATTTCTAAAAATTATTTTAAGCGATTTCGAGATACTTACAAAGATCGGTTCAAATTTTTTGAACGGCGGAGAGCTCGATTTCAACTCGGCCGAATCTTTGACTGCTCCACCTCCTCACGCGCCGCCGTCGACGGCGAACAAGGTTGACACCGGCGGACTCGAAACGACACAAGGAACACGATGGTGCAGGAGGTGTCGTAAACGGAGCTACGATCGGCGGTGAATTTAAGATATTCCCGGTGATAGAGCTAACAAAAACGTCGAGACTTTGACTGTAAATTCCTGACGTTTGGCAGCGTTTCACTTCAATTAAATTGAAGGATTTGTTCCACGCTCGATGATGAACACAACGGTGGTTTTAAAACGACGATCGGAATTTGAACGGCGTCGGAATCAGAGTTGGAAATGACGTATGGGAAAGGAAAATTGGGAGCATTTTGGTTCTGAAAATCAGAACCAAATGCACGCTTATAATCACTAAAAGCTGCCGACAATTTTAGGGTAAATTCAAGGCTTGGTCCCTGGATTTCCTTTACTTCTAAAATGGCCTATAAACTCTCATAAATTTTGATTTAGTCACCAACAATTTACCAATTTTCACAATTAACCTCTAATTTCAATTAAATATTATTTTGTAAATATTCGGGTTGTTACATTTTTCATCAAAATAATTTTATTTTTGTTGGATGGAAATTGTTAGTTAATTAACAATCAACATGTTTTGTTGACGTGACATTTTCATATATAGATCCAATCTCTAACGAGGTATGTGTCACGTAAATAAAAAAGTATAGGAACAAAGTATAAAAGTTACGTCAACAATATGTATTAGTCATTAGTCAACTATTAATTTCCACCACACCAAACATGGTTTGTTTTGACTTAAAATTAAAATGTTTGAAGCTAAGATGTTTAAAAAAGCGAAAAAAAAAATCAAATTAATTTTTTTTTAAAAAAGCCTAGAAGCTATTAATCTTAAACTATGTTTAGTTTATCTTATCAATATTTCAATTATTAATAAAATTGATGTCCCATGTTTTTTAATCTAAAATGTAAATAAAAAATTTGAATTCAACCGTCAATTTTTTCCTCATTGGTTCGTTCTATACACTTTCTTCTTATATTCTTTTACTTTCAGCATTTGAATTTTTTATTCCCCCCTCAGATGCGCTACAATGATCTTCGAATACGATAGAGTTCAAAGTAGTAGTTTGCAAACGAAAAAAAAATATGCGCGCGAATGTCATCCTTCATCATCCTCGAGCGATGGAAAATGAATCATATAAAAGATTTGATTTTGTTTATCAAGATCCATTTTTGCTTCTTCAATGGCCATCTACGGAGCAGGTGTTTTTGCTAGTCATGGAGTCAGAACTCCTATTCCCGTTTTCATTCCGCTAGGAAACAACCTGTTTTGGTACGTCGGGAACCTTCCGCCGTCGCTAGGGACTGGAGTGCTCATCCCTAACTACCACGGAGTCTTTCATGGAGGCGGAGGAGGAGCTGAGGGTGGCGGACAAGGCAACACACAACGCATTGGCAGAGCTAATGCTCAAGCCGGTGGCCACCCTATAAGCACAACGGAGCACGAAATAGACGAAGAGGAAGGGGTTTGGTGTTAGGAAATAAACCAAGTACAAGTAATTTCTCTATAACCAGATTAGTGAGAATGCAAAATAAAAGCAAAAAAATAATACCCGAAATTGATAACGGAGTTCAGCCAATTGTGCTTACGTCTCCGGACTGCTGCAGATCTTTTACTAAGAGAGAAAATTTACAGGTGTTTACAAAACACTCACTACTCACAAAAAAGCTCTCTAGTATTGGGAGAAATAAATGATTTTTGGAATGGTTTTGAAGCTAAATGAGCTAGGGTATTTATAGTTGAAACTTAAGGACTTAATCTTGTAAATACCCTAAAGTCTAGGTATTAATTGTGATTATCCCATTATCATTTTTCAACAAACATCTACCAAACTTTGAAAAACTATTTTTCAAAGAAACATTTACCAAACTTTGAAAACCATTTTCAAAGAAACATTTACCAAACTTTGAAAACCATTTTTTCAAAGTTGATTACCAAACTTGAAAACCATTTTAATACTTTCAACACTTGGCTCTTGGGAGTTGAGCTTTACAACCACATTAATTTCAACACATGATCGGATGTTTTTATTTTATGAGTGTGCTATGTAGATTACAACTTTGATCACTTGTTTGTGTAGTCAAAGTTGTTTGTGTTGTTCAGTTATTTGTAATTCATGTATTTCCATATCTTTGATTAGAATTTCCTGTTTGGCTTAAGAGAAAATTGAAAGAAAAAAAAATGATCAAAATATGGGGGAGGCGTTAGAGATATCCAAACGCATCGTTAATATTGGTGCGCCTCTCTCACACAAATTAATTAATTAATTACTCTAATATCAATAGTTCTTTTAAAATGAATTACAATAAAGGTAAACTATATAGATAGTCTTTTGTGTTTTTGATCTAACAGATTATAATAATAATTTAAAAAGAGTGATTTTGATTCTTTATGTAATCGATAATTCGATTTTAATCCATCGACGGTTAACTTCACTTATTCAGGAGGATGTGAACTTTCATTTATGTTGCTAGTCTTTTCCTTGTTTATTTGGTTGAGGGTTTTCATGATTACATGCAGCTTTATATATAATGTAGGTATTCTAAGATTTAATGAAAATCATATCTTTTGCGATCTAGATCTTTAAAACAAATGAATTTTTTATTGAATTATAAGACAATCTAGCTGCCGGAGAAGCCATAACACCAGCTAAAAGCTAAGGAAAAAACCTATGCTTTGAAAAAGAATAAGAAGTGAATTTTATTTTTATTTAAATCGAATGAGCCAATGTTAATATTAAATTTTTATTATATCAGAAAAATAATATAACACTTGTAAGAGAAGAACAAGTCGTTTATAAGAACAAATATTAAAATGATGAAATTTTTAATATAAAAGGTTAAAATTATTGAATTATTTTGGATTAAGATTAAATTTATGCTGTATAAGTTTTAAAGACTAAAATTGATATTACTATTCATCTAATATTTAATGATAAAGTGACATGTTTATAATAATTTTTAAATTGAGTGGCATCTTTATAGTTTTTTAAAAAGGTGACCTGTTTGCTACCAAACCCATAAGTAAGTGACCATGGGTGTAATTTACTAAACAATAATCGATTTTTCAAAAAAAAAAAAAAATACAGATCCTACATATCGAATCTATTTACAACCGCAAAAGGAGAAAGAGCCAGCTCTCGCAATCTGCAGCGCTCATATTTTCTCATCTTTTACAGGTAAGCTTTCATTGTTGTTTTTCCCTCATTCAATTTTCTCTTTATTCTCTTTCATTATCGTGTCATTTCTTGTTCAATGTTTGAATGGTATTGTTTAAAAAATTATGATCTGCTAATGTTTCCCCCTTTCAAATGTCATAGATTTGTTGTTGTTTGTAATGTTTTTGTTTTTATGTTTAGGTAAAAATCCATGGATCTATTCACTCTAATTCCGATACAGCATGATTTATTTTTAGTACGTTTGAACTTTTAGTCCAAATCTGAATCCCTGTGATTTGCTTTTTCGAGTTTACCCATTTTGCTTAACTAATATGTGGTTTTACGAAATCCTATTGTTGTAACTATGAAATTAAAAGAAACCCAATTTTCATTGATGTTAAGTTTGCATTTAGAAATGTATTCTTGCTGAAGCTGAAGATTCTGTACTGGGTTTTTATGCCCGCTGAGTGTCTAAAGAATATTTATGTTTTTTTCTGTTTTTTCTTTTAGAATTTATAAGTGACTGATTTTTTTCTTATGTTCATTTCTTGGCCTGTGTATGTAATGCTTTTGAAGATTGATAGTAACCCTTTGTTATGCAGAAAATGGGCTTGTGGACGATATTGGAAGGGTTTTTACTTCTTGCAAATGCTTTGGCAATATTAAACGAGGACCGTTTTCTTGCTCCTAGAGGATGGAGTTTCTCGGAATTCTCTGTGGGGAGGACAAAGTCATTTAAAGGGCAGCTTATTGGTCTCATTTACGCCACTCAATACATGAGAGTTCCTCTCATCCTACTCAATGCAATCTGCATTTTTGTTAAGCTAGTTTCTGGTTGATGCTGTTCTAGGTAAGATGCTTATGTCAATGATCGGTTGGATTTTGTATTAGGTGAGGGTGAAACTGAAGCACAGTGATTGCTAGTTATTTCTTAAGCTATTAATTTGTTGATTGTACGGTGAAAAGTGAAAGCTAAGTCTTAGATTAATTTTTCGGGTGAACTTGGGAAGTTCGAATAAGATCTTTTAGCAATGCAAGTTTTATCATATAGTCATATCCATCATTTGAACTGGCTATCCATCACAGAGAGAAGTGGCTCATGGTGGGGATAGCTACATTTAGGGGTGCTAACTGAGTCGAGCAGCTCGCGAGCGGTTCGAGCTTGACTCGATCAAAATTTGGTCTATGTTCAACTTGAAATTTTAACGAGTCGTGTCGAGCAAAGCCTAACTCAACTTGATAAGTTCGCGAGAAACTCGTTAATTTATTTATAAATTTTTTAGAATGTTGATTGTCTTATTTTTAAGATTGACCATGTATTGCTAAACTTTTTTTTTTCTTCAAGAATTGTTGTAATATGATAGTTTGTTGTATTTGTGGTTTGTTACTTTGGTTGTAGTATGTTAGTTTGGTGTGTTTGTGGATTGTTACTTTGGTGTTTAGACTTTGTAATTGCTTCACATACTATTTTGATCAATTTTTTGTTAAATTTATGTTTATATTAAGCTCTATATAGTATTACTAGATTTTACATATATTTTTAAAAACAAGGCAAAAGTTCTGGTTAGCTTAATGAGCAACGAGTTTTTTTAACCAGCACGAGTCGAGTAAAATTTTATCGAACTTATTGAGTCGATTCGAGCATTGGTCAGCTCGTGACCGACTCGCTTGATAAGTACCCCTAGCTACATTTGTATCTTCATGCTTCTCTCTTTCTTCTCTCTCTCTTTGGATAAGTTACCTTCCTGATTTTATGTTGCTTCATATTTGATTATTTATTCATTTGATTGTGAATTATTCTCTTCCCTTTTTTGATCTTAAGCATGTCATAGATTTCACCCTTGTAAGGAATGTGGGACATATTAATTTTGCTATGAATTTAGTTGTTGTATTCATTCCTGAAATTTTTAGAATGTGATTCTTTATCTGTTCATTATTTGCAGAAATCTTGAAATGGAATTTGAAGCATAGGGATATTCAGATGGTTGTGAAAGACAAAAGCAGTCAGTTCAAAATTTAGGTGATATATCTGTTTTTTTTTCCTTATAGGTTTGTATCTTCATTTTTAAATTCGAAATCGAGGTTTCATGATGGGATTTTATTGCCTGGAATTTGTGATAAGTGAATAGCTCTAGCATTTGTATCATTTGGGGACTTTGAACTGTCATTTTGAAATATACAATTATTGTGGCTGGAATTTCTATTATGTTGGAATTGCTGCTTTATAAATATGATATCTGAAAATGACGTTTTAGTTTCGTGGTTTGATTTCTAGTAGATTTTTTCTCTCATTTCTGGTAGAACCTATAATGCACCACTCATGCTTCACTAAGATAAATTTTTATTACATGATAGAACCAAGCCGGTAAAAGAATAATTGTAGTTCCTATTATATCTCAGACTATATTAGGATTCTTTTATTAAAAAAATAGGTAAAATAGACGTGTATTTCGAAAGGAGTAAAATTATTATTTTTTTCATTTAAAATTTCATTCATTTATAATGTGTTATATGTAAAATTAGAATCCGTGCTACGTACGTTAGGGTTTGCAGGAGGGTACCTTTGCAATTAAAAGCGGGAGCGGCAGTTGTAGCCTATGAGCCGCTTGGAATGGATTGTCTGGGGTCTTCGCCGGCGGTGGCTAGAGACCATGTGTATTGGATGAGACTCGAACTGGAGATGGACAAGATGGTTCCCAGCCGATGAATGCTACAGGTATGCAATCTTCGAAGGTTGGTATGGCAGTACTCCCAGATTTAACTATGGAGGATGTTGTGATGGATACCGTTGATGATGGTGAGGGACTAGCGGTGAAGGAAGGGGATAATCCTATATCTTAATGCGGTTATGGTAGGCGGCAACACAGGGACGTCCCGAATTTTGGTGAGGAGGATGTGATTATCCAAGAAGGCGAGATGTGGTGGTAGATAAGAGGACCTTGTTATCCAATTTTCAAATCGGGTCTATGATTGGATTGATCACAACATGAACGGAATTAAATTGCTCTGGCAACCTCAGGATCAGACCTTGAAAATGATTATTACCTCGTTAAATTTGAGTTTGAAAGTGATTATGAGAAGGTGCTCACAGAGGGGCCATTGGTGATTTTTGGATGCTACTTGACAGTCCAGCCTTGGAGTCGGAATTTCACCCTTCCCAAGTTATAGTTTGGATTAGGCTCCTGGGACTTCCTTACATGTATTACACCAAGTAGCTCTTCGGATTGCTAGCTTCGAAAATTGGTAGGGTTATTAAAGTTGACTACAATAAGACAACGGGTGAACGGGTTTACGAGATTGGTTGTCGTGGTGGATCTAAATAAACAATTACTGTCATGCATTGGGATTGATGCTTTTGTGCAACAATTGGAGTAGGACTCCAATAGCTCCAAGGCCTCCCCACATACGCTTCCTAATAGTGTGGTATAACCATTCCAAAACTGGTACTTTGATCAGTTCACCCATATAAATCCCTTGTACCAATTTGCATATAGAACTCCATAGCTCCAAGGCCTCCCCACATACGCCTTCTATAGTAACAACCTAAGAACCAAGGAGTTATCAACTTGTCCTTACAACCATAAGCTCTACAACCTTATAATATCTGTAATATATTAATATGCAACATTGCATAAACCATCCAACCAAAATATGGATATACAAGGTGAGCGTGGTTGTGAAAAGATAACCAATAGGTATTGCAGTACAAAAAATGTCAGCACTCCATGTGCTTAAAATGAACATTACTATGGAAATAGGAACAATCGAACACCAATGTGATAATATAACCAGATGCCATTGTGTAAAATACCCAATTCATACCCCCGTCTCAAAAGAATAACCAATGTTACGCCAAGATAACCAATAGGAACCTATGGGTTATAGACAACGAGAACCACTACACAATGTTAGCAAATGAGAACCTTTAGGTTGTATAAAATATGTGTTTCTACTCAAAAACAATAAAATGAGCAACTCTGGACTTTTAAAGAACAAGTTTCGCTGTGTAGAGATAAAAGATAAGCACCTTTGTGCTGCACCGAGACGTGAAGATAACAAATATTCATATCTTGGGTTGATGGGGAATACGCTCTGTTGCGCAAAGATAACGAATAAGCACCTTTGTGCTGTGTGTAAGAGGAATCGTTGTGTCAAGATAGCAAATAAGCACCTCTGAGCTCGTAGAAAACTAGTGTTGTCACGCTAAGATAACCAATATGCACTTAGGTGCCATAGAGAACAAGTGATGTTGCGCTAAGATAGCCAATGTGAACCTAGGCGCAATAAGAACATAAACATCACAGCTCAAAATAATCAATAAACATCGCAACTCAAACAACTCAAAATAATCAATAAACTAATTAACAATACTATTATATCTATGACTTGCCCTAAACCCTATTATTATTGGGGCATTGATTAATCCCTTCTAAAATATTCCTTGGTGCCTAATTTGAGTGAGAGAATGGGACACATGATGTTATAAATCGGATAAAAGTTGATGTCCCATTCTCTCACTCAATGGTAAGCTCTAACGGGGATTGGTAACTCTCCCACCCTCGGTCCTTCCTTACTTTGCGGCTATAAGGGTTCCCTTGACAACTAATGGCGCGGACATTCTCGGTTGGAAGTGGGATAGCCATAGACGCTTCACTGTTAAAAGCGTCTATAATTTTAAAAACCATTAGAAGGTGACTTAGTGAAAATGTTATAGTTTACAGCCAAATGAATGTATTGAAGCTTTTTAAATGTTAGCATTAGTTTTTTCTATTTTAATAGTATTTTTTAATTATTTCACAAATTATGATATTTTTATGTCATCCTATTTTTAAATAAAAACGTAAAAAAAACATATGAAGGAAAATCAAATTTTTTTGGTTAACTATTTTTTTAATTGATGAAAAATTAGAAATCTTTTAACAATTTCAATTAGTATTTAGATAATTTTAGACTCTTTTGTATTATTATAAACAAAGACAAAAACATATTGAAAAACTCTATAACGTTTGTCGAACGTGGATGAGTACCGTTATCGATGAGTATTATTAAATTAATTTATAAAACATTAAATTATAAAGTACTAAACATATAATTATAAATTAGTTAAAATCTAAATGTAATTTAATTAAAATACAATTTTATAAAACATTAATTTTTAGGGTAAACTATACCATTGACCACCTAACTATTTATACCTTTTACTTTAATCACAAATTTTTCAATTTTGTCAATGGGGTCACCTAACTATTTAAATCTTGTCAATCAAGTCACGTGTTGTTTAATATTAACAGATGAGATGACATGACAGTTAATAAAATTTGTATAATTACACATTTAGTCCTCATTACTGACACATTCTATTATTTTGGTCTTAACTTTTAATTAATTCAATAAATATAATCCTTAATCAGATGGTGACATGTCACTATGTGATTGGATTTTTTCTTTATATTTTTATTTAATTTAATAAAATTTTCATGTAATCAAATAGTGACACGTGTCACCAATTGAATGAATAGAAAATAAATTAAATCAATAATTGCTAATGGTAAGGTTTGAACCCAAGACATGAGGAGAGAAAGCAAATGCCACAACCATTAGGCTGCATCATTCAAATAACAATAATGTCACGACATGATATATATAGTTAATGACAATTAAAAAAAAGGAAAAATGGCCTAATAAGAACTTCAACATTGAATAATTGAATAATACGATAATATGATATATATACACAAATATTATAACTGATTAATATGTGAATGTATTTTATTTATATTTTAAATCATTTTAATAAAAAATAAAAATAATTTTAATATATTATAATTGAAATATAATGAAGAGCTTCGTTCACTTAGATTTTTCCTGATAGTTGAAGGCTTATCGTAGTAAGCATTTTAATTTATGCATTGATTTGTTTATATCCCGGTTAGAGTAAGAATTTTATATTTTATTATTTATTCATTATATATTTGAAGAAAACTTTAGAGAAACTTGATTTTATTGAATTATTCTATTTTGATATTGAATTGTTAAATAAGATTAGAATCCGATCGACGTTATAGTATTTTAAAATATAAGATATGATACATTTCAATTTAATAAAATTAGAATAATGAAGACAATTTATTAATTTAAAATATGTAAAATGATTCATTTCAATTATAACATATTAAATTCACTTTAATTTTAATTTTTGCAATAAATGTGATTTAAAATATAAATAATACATATTCTTTTTTTTAATCACTTATAATATTTGTTTATATATATTCTATATTTTTATACTATTCAATTATTTCATGTTTTAGTCGTTATAAGGTCATTTATTTCCATTACATTTATTATAAATCATATAGATTATGTTCTTTATACTAGATAAATTTAGTGTCTAGTTTAATGGTTAGGGTACTCAATTTTTCGACTTGTGTCACGAGTTCAAACCCCACCAATATCGGTTATTGATTTAATTTATTTTTCTATTCATTCAATTGGTGACACATGTCACCATTTGATTGGATAAAAATTTATTAAATAAAAAATATTTAAAAAATCTAATCACATAGTGACACATGTCATCATCGGATTGATGATTAAATTTATTGAATTAAATAAAAGTTAAAATCAAATTAATAGATTATGTAAGTAATGAAGACTAATTGTGTAATTATACAAATTTTATTAACTGTCATATCATCTCTTCCATTAATATTTAACAACAGTGGTTTGATTAATAAGATTTAAATAGCTAAATGATTCGATTGAAAAAATTAAAAAATCAATGATTAAAATAAAAAAAAAATAGTTAAGTGGCCAATGGTATAATTTACCATAAAAACTAATGTTTTATAAATATTATATTTTAATTAAATTATATTTAAATTTATAATTTTACATTTTATAAATTAATTTAATAATATTCATAATACTCATTCGTGCTCGTCGAATATGATAGCATCATCCAAACATATTGAGTTGTTGAACCTCTTAGTTTCTCCTATTAGAAAAATCACAATAAAAAATAACGCAATACATGACTCCTAAAGTCGAATATCAATATTCATCATTGTTTAAATTACAGAACATGGATTAAGAAATTCTTACTTGAACTTCATAAAAAATTTACCCTTATTATTTAACCACATTGAAAGACTTAACCTTCATTACAAGATTTAATTGCACCAAATGTCCTTAAAATATGATTCTCATTCTAATTGATCTCTAAACTTTTAAATGTTTCAATTTCATCCTAAACTATGACTATCATATTAAATTAATCCTCAACCTTTTGAAAATTTTAATTTCATCCCCAAACAATTTTCATTCTAAATTGATCTCTAAACTTTTTAAACATTCCAATTTCACCCCAAATTATACATACCCACTGATCACATCCCTTGTCAAGTCATATTATTGTATGTTTAGACAAAATAAAATTAAACTATGGTGGAAATTAATTACATATTTGGATAAACTTGGGGATGAAATTAGAATGTTAAAAAATTTATAATGAGTCATAGTTTGGGGATAAAATTGGAATATTCGAACGTGTAAGAACCAATTTAAAATGAGGGCTATAGTTTGGGGACATATGATGCAATTAACACTCATAACATTATAACAATCCCAAAAACTTATAACGAATATACTTTTGGTAAGGATTCTTTGTAAGCTGCATGGGTTCAAGCATATATCCTTAAAAATTTTAACTTGAGGCAAATTGCTTGCAAGAACAGTTTCAAATTGTCAACGAGTAAAATTTAGAAAGAAATTTGAAAGAGTAGAACCAAATACTCTTCCAGTAAGGAATACATAATCATGAGTAACATTAACCAAAACATATGCAATTTCGGAAACTTCAAAAAAGCTTTTTCACATAAACAAAATGTTCATATCTCATTTATGTCATACTACTTGAACACAGTGCTAGTTCGAGCTTACCAATTTTCGTAAACTTGTACGAGAACTTTAAATCCTTCATTCTTCAAGAAACTTCTTGAGGTTCTTCAACCACTGTAGATACTCCCGGCTGTCTTTGTTAATCATGTACTCGTGCAAATAGTTAGTCGTGCTTGGTTTGATTCCTCGGATCTCCAAATACTTGTGGAAAGCCTTCTGCAAATTCTCATCCAAATCACTGCAAAACACAACCGAAAACATAAGTTACAGCAAATGAAGCAATCAAAATACCAATTCCGCTATCTATCCAATAAGCTTACCAGAAATCAGGGCCTTCATAGGCGAGTTCGTCCTCAGAATCTGGATTTCGAACAGACAAACCATCAATGGTAATCTCATCGGGGTATGCAGTACAGCTAAACTCCAAATTCGGACCACCACTCTTTGAGATATTAACAACCAATGGGATGCTTGATCTACTGGGCTTTTCAGAGTCATCTTCGTCATTGTTTAGGTCATCAGCTTCGCCTTCACCCGTGACAAGATCCGGCATGTAAACATTAACTTTGATGAGTTCACCATCATATTCCCTGGTCAATGTTATGGACTGATGCCCGGGAGTGTCTTCAATTTCAAAAGGGAACCCACTTGGAGTTTCTTCAACCTGTGAACACATAATAAAAGAAATTAGCAAAATCAATACAAAATGAAGATAAAAATTACTTTCAGCTTGAAAACTTAACATCAACACTATCATGTCATTGATCTCCTAAATTGCAAATGACTAAAATGAGAGTTATGTTTTACCCAGGGCAATCCAAAGTGTCAGCCAAGCATCATTTAAAAAAATTAAAAAACCAAAACCTTTAAAAAAAAACTCAGTTTCTAATTTACAGCAAATTTTAGTAAAATATATCATTTATTCATATGTTCAGAAACCATTTTCACTCTGATCATAAATTGCTAGTAAAACACCCAAAGATTCAACAAATCATTACTTTCATACAAACCCTAAATGGAAAGATAAATAATCGGCCACCTGATTATATTCATCACTCTCCTCGGCACACTGAATCTCCGACTCGATAACTCGGAGAAGAGACTCATCAGAAGCGGTTTTCCGAGAATCAACAGCCGTTGAGAAATGAAGGGTGTTTGGGTAAAAACGTTAGGGGTGGATGGGTGGGAATGGAAGGTATGGTTCAAGGCCATGAAGATGGAAGATTGGTAGCTTCTCTCCACTCGGGTGAGTCGAATCGCGAGCGGAGCTAAGGAGTTAGCTGTTTTCCGGAGAATGGAAGTGAAAGCCATGAGAAACAGCGGGGTTTTGTTAGGGTTTTACGAACAGCTAGATTGTTCGTCACTAATGTTTAGGATTTTAAAGATAGGTATTAAATGGACTAAACTCCAGTTTCCTTCTTGGATTGGGCCTAATTTTGGATCATATATTACATATTTAATTTTTCTTTTAAATCTATGGAGTTGTGAGTATTTGGTATAATCGTATTATGTCGATTGAAAAATAAATAAATTTATGATTATTATTTTATCATTTAAATTTTATTTAAATTTGTTTAGGTTGAATTTATAAAATTTGAGTAAAATGGAATATATTTATTTAAGTTTTTGTTCATATTTAAATGTAACTATTTTTAATGTTATACTCCTCTATCCCACTTAAAATGTTTCCTTATTGATTTTTTTGGGTCAATTTTTTTAACTTTGACTCTTTATTATTTAAAATTTGTTACTGATTAAAATATAAAAAAAAGTAAGACCATTACTTTCGGAGAAAGCAATTTTACACCTCGAAGCTAATCCAGTTCCCATTAATGAAGAGCTCAAATACTCGGTAGGTTGGAGAGAACAGAGAGCAGTCGATTTAAATCAGCCTACGAAATGATCGAAAATACTGAACAAGTACAGCACGATAAAGTCTGGGAGGTTATTGCCAAGCACAACAGCTTATCAAGAGTGAAGACTTTCCTTTGGCTAGCATAGAAGGCGTCTCCTCACAAATGCGAAAGAGTCAGAAGGCACATAGCAACGAATAGTAAATGTCAGAACTGTGGGAATTATAATGAAGACATTGACCATGTACTCAGAACATGCCCAGTAGCTTACCAGACCTGGAAACAACTAATTGATCCTTGGAAGGAGATGAAGTTCTTCAATTGCGGTCTACAAACCTGGATGAAAATAAATCTAGGGAGCAGCAAATTTGCAAGAAATGGAGAGGAAGATTGGCAAGTACCATACAGTGCCATTCTCTAGGCATTTTGGAAAAGACGAAACAAAACAATTTTTGACCCGGAAAGGCTGGAAAGGCTGAACGTTATTAAGGAAGGAAAGAACCTGGTTCGGGAGATTCTAAATGGGAATGCCCATGATTCAAAAGGAGATCAGGAGAGAACATGCACCTCGAATAAATAGGAAGTGCCAAAGGAACCATGGTTTTAAAGTAAACAGTGATGGGGCCCGTAATACACGCTCAGGCGAATCAGCCTGCAAGTCATCAGAAATCACAAGAGACGATGGATAATTTGGTTTACCAAGAAGCTGGGAATTTGTAAAACCCTTGAAGCAGAATTATGGGGAATATACTTCGGGTTGCAAACCGCATGGAAGATGGGATTAAAGAAAATTCAAGCGGAATCAGACAGCAATGAAGCATTAAATATGGTCGGGACCATCATGCAATACATTGACGAGCTATTAAAAAGAGAATGGAGAGTGGAAACTAATTACGTTCCGAGAACGAATGACAAGGTCGTCGATGCCCTCGCAAAACATGCCTGAAAGCTCCCGAATGGTCTTCATGAGTTTATGCATCCCCCCACTGATGCGATAGAAAGATTTGCTAAGGAAGCCTAAGCTAGTGGAAACTGCCGTTTGTAAAAAAAAATAATCAAATAGTTTTGAAATATATATTTTATAAAATTTAATTTTTAAAATATTTAAAATAATAGTGATTAAAGTTTTAAAAACTTGACTTTAAAAAAATCAAAAAATGATAATTTTAATAGGACATAAGGAATAATAATAATTTATTTCAATTTAAATGAATCTCTTTAGCAATATACGACATACATATATATATTTTTTCACTTTTGTAAGATTCATAATGTTATTTATAATAAAATAAAACATCATCTAAAATTATATAATATATATATAATGTTAACTTTTAAATAATAAATTTTGAGAAAAAGTTATTGATGAGAATATTAAAAGAGTTATAAAAAATTGGTGGAAAAAAGGAATTTAAAAGGAGTTGTAGTTAGAGGAACAAATTGGATAAAATATAAAGTTGAGAATTACATTGAAAAAAATAAATTTGTTGTCAAAAGGAGGAATCGAAAACAAATGGAAATTCTATACTAGTTAGGGAATAAACGATTCAAATTTAGTTAAAATGAACTTAATACGAAGAATGAATTAAAGAAATAAAAAAGTTATTACTAAATCACACAACAATCCGTCTTTTATTGAGTTTGAAAAATGCTTTCGGGACCAAAAAGTATTTTTTGGAACTATAAGCAATGCTAAACAAATTCTAAAAGTGCAATTGAAAAGTGTTTTTAAACCTAAAGTAAAAGTTAAACAAACCCAACAATTAGTGGGTTTCGTTAAGAAAATAAATGATCTAATACAAATGATTCGCATAGTCCATTGGTTAGAGTCAAGATTTTCTATTTCGTAAAACTGACAAATAAAATCGTTGGAACTATATTTAGAGTCAAGTTTATTCAAGGATGAAATTCTCCATATATTCATTAATTTTATTTATTTCAAAATTTATTGGTTTATAACCCTGTCTTATTAATAACTGATTTTTACGGGATTTTACACCTATTTTCTTATCTATTAAACTATATATTGTTTTTAGGAGTAGAATGTTTATATTTTGTCCATAGATATTAATTTTTTAATGTTTTATTCAAACTGAAGTTTATTATTGGGCTGTGAAGGATTGGGATTCTGGAACTCGTTCGAATGAAGCCCATATGAAAAGGGAAACCCTAAAAATTTCACTATATAAATCAGCATTCTGCATCTAAAACCTCCTTTCATCCGAAGTCGTCTTCACCTTTGTTTTGATCTTCTTCTTCTTCATTTAATCTTTGAGGTGGGCAATTAGCCAGTCATATGTTTAGCCATTTGGTTTACTGTTCTTTGTGTGAATGGTCAGTATCCCACCGATATCAGCTCTAATGTTGTTGGCTTTTCAATTTGCGTGAGATTGAAACTTCTGTTTTTCATTTTTTTCACGCTTTTAAGGCCATTAACTACATTGATTTCATGTCTTTTTTTGCGTCATATACTGATTACCATCGCTCTTTTATATAACAGTGAGCTGCTGTGTATGAGCTGACGCCATAGTTTCTCTCCCTTTCTGCTTATTTGGTAGCCTAAATGGCTACTTCACTGCAGACAAGGGGAAATTTCTCATTTTTTTTAATTTAAATAATTGGGGATTTATGGGGAGATATATTTTCAGAGATTTTGTTTGGTGCTTGTTGATCGTTGGGGTTTGAGTACAATTAAATTGTCTGATAAACGACTCAGTAAATTACACGGGTATGGCAGTTTGATTCCTCTTATGTATTCAGAGGAATTTTAGGGATTTTTAAATATATTTAGAGATTTTTATAATATTTATTTAAACAAAATGAAAGTTATATACATTTATTTTAGATTTTGTCATTCAAAATTCAATTTTACCCAAAAATCAAAAATAAAAAATGATTTTTTGATTTAATACCTTTTTTAAAATATTATCTAAACTAGTACTTTTTTTTGTAAAGTATCATTAAATTTTTGTTGGGGTAAAATTGATATAATTCTTGTAGATGTTTACATTAGATGCATTTGAAAAAGTCAATCCATTTACTCCTTCAGTTATAAATATATCAGTTGTTTTCCATCTCTATAAATCTCAATATTGATATCTATAAATTCAAAAATAATTGATTAATATGAATAGTATGTAAAGTGAAATTCTCACATTTGACAATGAGCAAAAACAAAATTAATCATTTTCTTTGTTTGATGCCTTCTACCAATATTCTTTATAGCAATAGAGAAAGGATTATGGTGTCTCAATTCAGTCAGGAAAAATAAAAAGTAAAGAAATATTATTAATTTAACGAATTTAGTTATCTGATGTAAACATCAACTTTAAATTATATCATCCTTAATAAATTGAATTTATCACGCTTTAATAAAAAAATATTTATTTGATTAATTTAAATTTAAATTAAATATTCTCATGAAGATATTTCTTAACAAAATTTAATTTATAATTAAAAAATAAATATTTAAATATTTCAACATATCAAAAATATTTAATTTTACTTAATATAAACTCTAATTTATATTCAAATAATAAAAATAATAAACTTTAATTTAATGAATTTAATAAAAATAACAAATTAAATACTACATGAGAATAAGGTAGAAAAATTATTTTTAGAGAAAATCGCCTCAGTGACCAAAAATGCCTTATAATATACGATTTTAACCAACTTTTTTTGATTTGCCAAAATGACCAACAAAATCGCAACGCGAAATAAAAATCGCAACGCGATCCCCAGAATCGCAAATCAGTTTCCAAAATCGCAACGCGATTCTTGAAAATCGCAATGCGATAGTACAAATTCGCATTGCGATTTTCCAGAATCGCAACGCGAATATGAAAATCGCAACGCGAACACATAAATCGCAACGCGTATCCGTAAATCGCAACGTGTATCCGTAAATCGCAACGCGTATCCGTAAATCGCAATGCGTATCCGTATATCACAACGCGTATCCGTAAATCGCAACGATAATACATAAAATCGCAACGCGTATCCGTAAATCGCAACGCGATATTTAAAGCGCCATTATAATCGCTACGCGTATTTATTTTCAAATTACAAAAACGAATATTAAGACAAAATCCCGTAATCGCAACTCATAACCTAAAACCTAAAATCACAACTCAGTCCCATCTCCATCTCTCTCTCTACGGCGAAATCCGTCCCCATCTCCGAAGATTTCCGTCCCCATCTCCGCGAAATCCCTCACAACCATTCACGGTCAGAAATCCCTCACAATATTCAGAAATGGAAAATCAACCTCCGAGGGTTAGTTTTTTTAATTATTTTTATTTTGAAATTTTGCATTATTGTAGGTTTTTCATATTGAAACCGATGATAAGTTTACTGGTCATTTCAATAATAGATTAACCATTTCACTTAGATTTCATTTCGCGTTACGATTCTCTCGTTGCGATTTTCATTTCGCGTTGCTATTCTCTCGTTGCGATTTTCAAGTTAGTATTTGTCTTTGTCTTTGTTCTGTCTTTT